TTTTTTTTTTTTTTTTTAATTTTGTTCGAATTTTATGATTTTTTTTTTCGAATTATGTGTCATAACATTCATATAAAATTGGCCACATTTATCAATTTATAAGGTAATATATTTTTTGGCCATATTTAAAAAAAAATTTAAAAATTGAATTTTTTATTATTATTTTTTAATAAGGGCAACATAGTATTTTTAGGGTGCGGTAAATAGTAAAAGTGGGTGCGGTGAATATTAACACTCAAAGAAAAAACATCAGCTTTCTTATTATTTTCATTTCCATTTCCATTTCCATTTCCATATATAATTCATCAGCTCTCAATATAATTGATGGGTACACTCAAATAAACAGGTATGTAAATGTAAATGGTATTTTTGACTGTGTGTGAATTTTATTTTAACTATATTGTTTATCCTTTTTTGCCTTCTTTTTCCTTTTTATTCTTTTATTATTTTTTTTATATAATAATTTTGTTGTCCCTCTTCCTCTCACATATGATATAATTCAATCACACTAGTTGGAAGTCTCGACTCTTGACGAGAGCCTTTCTCCAATCTTCGTTTCTCTCATTTTTCTATGTTTTGTGCTGTAAAACCCTAATTCCTTCAATCAATCCATTCTCCGAGATCGTCTCCAGCTGGGTTTCTTTCTAAATCTACACGCAACTTCATTCCCCCATCCTCCAAAGTTTACTATCCCTCTGAAATATTCGATTTTTTTTTCACCAATTACTTTCCGATTTTCGTCAAGATCGTCGATTTTCCCCCATTCCCATCGAGTTTTCCTGTGAATTTGATGCCTGCTTCTTGAAATTCACCGGGCCTCTAAGAGCGCAACGCTGGCGATTTGTGCCAGGTGCAGGTGATGGCGGATCCGCCACAAGTCCGCCGAGAGCTAGTGTTTGAGTTTTCGATTTTCTTTGTTATTGGGTTCGAAAAACGCTTGACGAAGAAGCAGCTAAGGAATTTAACACGCTTAAGGTTAGGGTAAAATGCTGAGCGTGCTGAGGGTGCACCTGCCCTCAGATATACCGATCGTAGGGTGCGAATTGATTCCGTATGTGGTTTTGAAGCGCCCCGATAAGTCTGTCACTACTGAAGATGTCTCGGAGCTGAATCCAGTGGACGGGTATTTCTTGAGATATAAATGGTGAGTTTGCTTGGGCATTGATTTTTACCAGCGATGTTTTTCTGCTTTTCCCCCCCTGTTCTGCTATTATGAATATCCATTGTCCTCATGCATGTGTTAACGATGAGAAGAGTTGTATGAATTCAGTTTCAGTAGCTGGTTTTGTGAAGTTCTGTGGTGAAAAGTTTACATGTAAGTTTGAATTGTAGGAATTAGTTGTGGGTTCGGTGGACAGTTTTCTTTTGGTGTGGTATTAAAGTGAAGGAGAGTTGTGACTGGATAATGTATTAATGTTCATCTTTCGAAGCTGAGGGCAAGACAAAAGTGGATAAAGTGATATCCGCATGACTCTGTGGGGGATGGGGCTCTTTCTGTGGAACCTCTTTCCATTCTGGTATTTCCTTGCTTTTTGATTCGCTTGATGCAAGTGTTTGGAAGCTACGTGTCAGATTCTTTCTTCCATTAATGCTTTATCTTCCACATATCGACTACTAACTAGGTTCTTCTAGACTTATTAGGGTCGGTTTCTGTGGGAAAAAATTTGACACGTATGGTAACTGATTGCCACAATCTTTGTCTTTACCTTACTTTTTAGAAGGGTATCATTTGAAGTCCAATCCAGATTGTAAAGTGATAATTAGGTCAAGACTTTTACTTTCCATCGATCATGTTATTTCTACCTGTTTAGGTTCTGAAAAGGAATATTCTTAAAGTCAATCTGTCAATGTTGTTGTCGTTTAGAGCGTATAATCCCCAAATTAAGTCGGGCGACTACAATTTAACAACAATTATAAAAAAAAAGCAGTTTTTTTTAGATGTAAACTACTTAAGTTGTTTATTATCTGTTTGAGTATAAAATATTGGAATCTCAAACAGATGCCTGTCTGAAAACTATACTCAACTTGTGATTTTGATAGTTGTTTGTTACTTAATTTGGTTCAGATACGTTGTCTACTTAATTACGAGATACCAAAATGACTGAATACATAAACTGCATACATCTGCATGCTTCTATATATCAAAGTATGTTCGCCTTTTATATGCAAATAGATGTTCCCCACGCAGGTATCGTGTGCAAAGTGATAAAAAAATCGAGTTTGTAGCGTTCACCCGACCGAGCAGGCTTGCTTGCAGTGTCTCTTATGCATCAAGGTGAAAATACCCGTTGCCAAGAGCGACCACTGTTCTTCGAAATGTTTTGCCGATGCATGGCCCCATCACTGTGCCCTCCACAAACGTGCAGCCGCCACCGTCGGTGAAAATGGCAACGAGGAGGACGAGATATTCAACACAACTGGCAGCGGAATAAGCCTGCCGACCTCTCAGTCGAACCCCAACCTGGCGAATGGCGGTGCTGCTGTTGCTCAGAGGAACGGCGGTGAGACGTGGTTCGAGGTCGGGTACCAAAAGATGTACACTCCGACTGCTGATGATGTTGGCCATGTACTCAAGTTTGAGTGTGTCGTGGTCGATGCCGAGACGAAGTTGGCTGTGGGGCCCACCAACACCCTGTTGACCTCACACGTGATCCCTGCTCCCTCGCCCAGCCCGCGACGGTTGATTCCGCTGAGTGGGAGTTTGGGTATGGACTGCCGGATTCTGTCGGTTGGTACATTTACAGTGCTCTCGTACAATATCCTGACGGATAAGTATGCAACGAGCGAATCGTACAGCTACTGCCCGACTTGGGCTCTTTCTTGGAACTACCATAGGCAGAACCTCCTACGGGAAATAATTGGCTATCATGCTGACATCGTATGTCTTCAAGAGGTGCGCTTATCGTTTGGAACAATCTTATGTTCTAGGGCTTCTGAAAGGCATGTTGACATTTCACTTAAATATAATAGTATATCTAATAATAATTTTTTGACTTTCAATGATTTTTTTCATGGAGAGTTCATGTGTCTCATCTGAGACGAAAAAAAAGATCCTAGTTAAGTTGGCTTGGTTCTTGTTATACAAGTTGATCTTTGCACTCTCTGAAGGCTGTTACAGTTTTGGAAGAAAATATTACTTTTTAACCTTGTTTATGCTACTTCTATTTTTGTTCCTTTTCTTTTCTTTTTTTTTTTAATCTGCTCCCAGGTTCAAAGTGATCATTTTGAGGAATTCTTTGCTCCGGAGCTGGATAAACATGGGTATCAAGCTTGTTTCAAAAGGAAAACTGCAGAGGTTGGTTAATAAAATAATCTTTTTATTATGATATGAGGTCAAGCTGTTGTTGATCCACTGTGATGCTTTTCTTTCACAGGTTTTTGTTGCGTCCATCAACAGTGTTGATGGTTTTGCTACTTTCTTCCGTCGTGAGAGATTCTCTCACGTCAAAAAATATGAGGTGACTAAGCTGCCATCCCATCTTGTTGCCCAACATCTCAAAGCTCAATTATTGTCAATTTTAAATACCTACATTATGCCTTGTAGGTTGAGTTCAATAAAGCAGCACACTCTCTGACTGATGCTTTGGTTCCTAGCGCACAAAAGAGAAATGCTCTAAATCGGTTGGTCAAGGTATTAATCTCTATATAAAGCACCAATATTTTTTTTTTATTTTTTTTCTTACTTTTTTTTTTTTATTGTATGTTAAATATCTTCATTTCACCGCATATATCTGATATAGAGAGCATTTAATATGCTTCTTTTCAAACAGGATAATGTTGCATTGATTTTAGTTCTTGAGGCCAAGTTCGGTAGCCAAAGTATTGATAACCCTGGGAAGCACCAGCTTGTTTGTGTAGTAAGTTTTTGTTTTTACCACATAATAGCATTTATTAGTTACGTTTTTTCAAGATTCAACATGGAAGCTAAATTAGCGCATATGGCTACTCAGTGCTATTCTAACGCACTTTCTTGGTTTTTCCTAAATGAATAAATATATTTAATTAACTCAAGCCAGGCTGTCGTTATTTGGTATTAAAAAAAAAAAAAAGAATCTTATGTTACCTTTCTTTTGTGAACCAGGCAAATACACATGTAAATGTGCCTCAGGAGCTGAAAGATGTCAAGCTTTGGCAGGTTCTTGTTGGAGTCCATTCTATTTATTCTCTCTTTGCTGAATGTGAGGTTGTTTATTTCTTGAATTGTCGAATATATGTTCTTTTTCTTCATATCAGGTTCATACATTACTGAAAGGTCTAGAAAAAATTGCTGCAAGTGCAGACATCCCAATGTTGGTTTGTGGCGATTTCAGTTCGGTACCTGGAAGGTGTTTTTTTCCCCCCTCTCTCTCTCATCTCTTCTATTCTATGATTATAATTAGCAGATGTTTTACAATTTTTGGTTCTTCCCACACAGTGCTCCTCATACCCTCCTTGCTATGGGAAAAGTTGATCCACTTCATCCTGACTTGGCCGTGGACCCCCTTGGAATCCTTCGCCCCACTGCTAAATTAACACATCAGTTGCCATTGGTATAAACTTCATTATTGTCTTAGTGTCGAAACATCTGTTCCTAGAATTATTCTTCCTTCTTTTTTCGAAAAGAGTATGTACCAAATTTTACTATCTCGTTGCATTTGCTTACTGAAGGTAAGTGCTTACTCATCCTTCGCGAGAGCTGGGGTTATGGCCTATGTTCACAAACTGTTATGGCCTAGAGCAGAGAAGGAGAATGGATCCTGCTACAAACGAGCCTATGTTCACAAACTGCACTCGAGATTTTATCAGTACCAATGATTATATATTTTATTCAGGTATATATACTTGAGTTTTTCAATTTCTTTCTATTTCTTTTGTGAATTATGATTATTTGGGCCTGTTCAACTTCTGAGCAACCGTCTCCCCTATAAATCTAATGGTAACCGAGAAATAGAAAAATTCAAATTAAAAGTTGACATATAAATATTAATTTAGCTGCAATTTTTTGTTTTACCCTTGGGCAGCCGATTCTTTAACCTGTTGGAACTGTTGGATGAGGATAGCTTGCGTAAAGACACAGCCCTTCCTTCTCCCGAATGGTCTTCTGATCACATTGCACTCTTAGCCGAATTCCGCTGTATGCCCCGAGCTAGACGCTGATTAAGAGGTATATTTTTCTCTCTTTCTCATGAAGAATTCTTCAACTATTTGAGTATGACTTTGTAATTTTGTTCTTGAAATTGGATGTGTAATGATTTATACCCAATCTTATGTTATCTGCAGGTCCGACTTATCCAAAAGAATTCAAGCACATCAAATTAGCTGGTGATCTGATGTTTAAGAAGTAAGAACAGAGAAAGTGAGTGTGAAGGTTGACCATTGTACCCCTGTTCATTTCTATAGGTGTACTGTATGTATTTGTCCCCAATGGGGGGCTGTCTTTGTATCATGCTATGCTATACCTGTGTTGTACCCTATAGAGAAAATATTTATAATGCCTGATTTGTTTACTCTCCTTAAAGTTGAAATAAAGGGAATTGTCTTGTGCAATTTGGCTGCACCTAGTGTGTTTTCCCATTTAGTTTCTTGAAAGATTTTTTATTTATATAACATGGAAAGCGCATGTGTAAAGATTCAAGCTTGTGCAAGTGAAGAGCAGTTGCGTAATATCATTTGCAGACCATCATCTAAATTTTATCAGTTAAACTGTTGCACTGTCAGGTACATGGTAACTTAATTTACAAATGATATTCTTAAAATCATTATTTACTAGTTATTCAATTTTTGCGATTTTGTTCACGAGTTTTATACCGTTTTAATTTTTGTTTTGGCGTGTTCATTATTACTAGTACGGTACCCGTGCGATGCACGGGAGCATTTATTACCCATTTATTTTTAAAAGGTATTTTTGTATTTAAATTGTCTCAAACCATTAAAAATTTCATGAAAATCAAATTTATATGTTATTAAACACTTTCTTATGTACAACATTATTGATTTGATTCTTTGGCACATAAAGTATTACATAGGTGTTCGAATTTATCCAAAATTGCATATTAGTTATTAGTTAACACAAATTTTTTAAAAAAAATCTCCAAATTTTGCTACCAAAAAAATATGATTTAAATTTTGCTAAAAAAATAAAATATGATACTAAAAAATGAGATTCAAATTTTGCCATAAAAATATCCAAATTTGTTACCAAAAAAATAGGATTTAGATTTTGTTACTAAAGATTCACATGTGTTTTGTTGAACTTTCCATTAATAGAAAGTCAAACATTACATTTATTTGGCCAAACTTTCTACTAATGTATTTTTCCAACAACCTCTTTATATATATATAGATAGATATAGATATAAATATAGATTTATGAATTGTTTATTTTTTGTGCTTTTGTATGTACTACTATTTATTGTTTTTGTCCTTTTGATTTTTGTTTCGAAACTAGAATTTTATGATAAAAGTTTGTTGTGCGGTGAAATGGAGTTTTTTTGGCGCATCTATATATATATAATAAGAATTAACATTTTTAAAAAATGGCAGGTCAATTCTATGGTCAAAGATGCTTAGATTAATTACTTTCTATTAATGGCAATTTTTTTAATTTTTAATTTAAAAACACAGAAAATATCATTTGGAATTTGTTAAATTAATGACCACGTAATTTGTTAAATTAATTTTTATTTTCTATGTTTAAATCACATAAATATTTTAGTCTTCTTATTTAAATTGCCAATGGTTTAATGGTAAAATGTTATGTAAATAGACTTAGATATATGTATCACATATCACTGCCTATTTTAATGATTTTATTATTTTTAAAACTAATAAATCTTAAATTGAATCTGATTTATTTGTTAAAAGATATTTTGTATTCATAGTGTCATGTTCTATTGTAATTCAAAATTTCAAATTGCCGATATGAATATGAATTTGAATAGTTTAAAGAAACAAAATCCCTTATATGAAGAAATTTATTCCTTGAAAATACACATATTCTTTAAATTGCATAATCAATCAATTGATCTTAATTTTTTGAAAATTACTATGTTTATTTTTTTTTATTAATATGCATAAAGTAAAACTAATTAACTTCGGGTCTTTCCTCTCCTTAAAGTCGAGCTCAACGCGAGAGGTCATAACAGATGCTCGACTAAAAGGAGAGGTACTTTTTATTAATATTCATAAAATAAAATTAATTAATTCATCTTTAGATATATAATTTATAATCTTAATGTACTATCGTTTGGTGTAGACATTTATTATATGAATCATAAAATATTTTTATTTCATAAAATTAAATATATCAAAAAAATAAGGAAATTTCTTTGGATCAATCAGATGATTAAATTAGGGTATTGTCCAAGTTGATTGTTTTACTTTTAGGTGATATTTAAAATAGTCAAAAAAATTGACACAACTTGATTGGTCTTAAAGTGACCAAGTTATCTATCTGTTTGATCAGACCAATTCGATTATTGAACCTAAATATAATTTTAATATTAAAAATACTTTATTACTTGAATGTGATGTAGTTCAAACTTTAAATAATCATATTAACAATATTTTTATGACAACATGTTTAATAATTTATAAATATTTATATATCATTTTATTAATTATTTTGTGAATAAAATAATATTTTATTATAATTTTTATTAATGTACAAGAAATATAAGGTTTTCAGAACCGGACCGTCATCGAAATGATCAAGTTATTTTATTAAATTATTTGTGCTCTGTTCAAATTTTAATTTATAAACATTTTAATATATATAACTCATCGAAAAGATCAAGTTATTTTATTAAATTATTTGTGGTCTGTTCAGATTTTAATTTATAAACATTTTTATATATATAATACTTTTTGTAATAAATTTAAAGAACATGTGATACTTAAATATCTAAACAATTTAAAAATTCAAATGTTTAAACTATTGATAAAGAGTTTATAAATCTCCATTTTATTTAAATATGTAATTTTATATAATTTTAATTGTAACCAAATTTATTTAGAAAATCGATATCGATCCTACCAGTCAAACCGACTGGTGTTGACAGATTCGATAGCTAATATTTTATTCAAGCAACTAGACTGGTTATAAATCGGTTCTCGGTCCATCCGCCCGGACTGTGTCCAACCCGATTTAATATAAAAACAATGGATAAATCATGATTAATGTTATATATATTTAATTTATAATACAATCGTAATATTGTTTCCCCGTGCATCGCACGGGCCACGCACTAATTTACTATTATCTACGAGTTACTCAATTATTGCACTTTTGTGTTTTACTATTTAGAATTTTTGGTTTATTTAATTTTCGTCTCAAAACTAGTTTTCTAAGATGAAAGCTTGTTAGTCGGTATAAAATAGT